CTAAACTGATAAGATAAGATAAGACTCCCTACTAATCCATACTACTGAACTGATAAGATAAGAACACTGAATAGATAAGACTCCTACTAATCCCTGCTACTRAAARYWRATAAGGTAAGAATACTGAATAGATAAGATAGGATGAGAACACTAAATTGCTGCTGCTGAGAACACTAAATTACTATTGCTGCTGCACTAAATTACTGTTGTTGTTGCCGGCGCCCACATCACGTGGTAGAGAAAGAAGTACTAGTACTAGGAGATGCATATACTATGGATTAGAGGGACATACTGTTAACTTCTGTTATGACTTACATGGTCCACCCAACACTTGGGCTAATCATGTTGTGACTAGTAGTGGTGGTACTGCTAGTGAGAATTAGCAAGCTGATTAGACCCCCTCCACATCTATTGGTGCTTCTGGAAGGAAATGGTGAGTGTCCCATGTAAGGTATATGAGAAGTTTCTTCAGACATCCTCTCAGCAGAACACAACTACTCTTGCACTACTCTTGCACATTCAGGTATGGCTTGCTTGGCTTCCAAACCCTCATACTGGATCATTGACTCTAGAGCCTCTGATCATATATGATTGGGACCTCGAGTGTCTTTTCTTCACTTTCTCAGTCTTCTACATCCCAAACAGTTATTCTTGCTAATGGTTCTACCTCTCCCAATTGTGTTGTTGGTGATATTGATCTTACCTCCTTATCTTTACCCTCTGTCTTATATGTACCCAAGTTCCCTTTTAATCTTATGTCTATTAGTAGATTAACCAAGTCACTTAATTGTTCTATAACCTTTTATCCATCTTCTTGTGTGTTTCAGGATCTCAAGACGGGGATGAAGATTGGTGGAGGGCATGAGGCAGGTGGATTGTATTATCTTGATGGTGGTGGTCCGAAAGCAACTCTTTAGTCATCTTTTACTCCTCTCCAGTGGCACTGCAGACTTGGTCATTCGTCGCTCAAGGCTCTGAAGTTTTTGGTCCCGTTTTTAAGTCGTCTTCCACCGTTGGATTATGAGTTGTGTCAGTTTGGGAAACACCATAGAGTCTCTTTTAGTCCTAGAGTTGATAGTCGTGTTTTGAGTCATTTTTCTTTAGTCCATTCAGATGTTTGGAGTCCAAACAAAGTTGTGACATACAATGGTTATAAGCATTTTGTAATTTTTGTTGATGATTTTTCAAGGATGACATGTCTCTATCTTATGAAAGGCAGAAGTGAATTGTTCTCTATTTTTCAAAAATTTTATGCTGAAATTCGTACCCAATTTGGAGTTCATATTAAACTTCTTCACTTGGATAATGCAAAAGAGTACACCTCAACACCATTTCAGAAATACTTAGAGCACCATGGGATAATTCACCAAACTTCTTATTCTTATACCCCACAACAGAATGGCGTGGCTGAACAGAAAAACCAACACTTACTTGAAACTGCTTGGTCAATTATGCTTGATATGAATGTTGCAAAGCGTTTTTGGAGTGATGCTGTCCTTACATCAAGTTTTCTCATCAATCGGATGCCCATGTGCATCATTGGAAGTCAATCTCCTTTCTCAATCTTGTTCCCTACTCTTTCTCCTTTCTCTTACTCTTAAAGTCTTTGGTTGTGTTTGTTTTGTTCAGAATTTAGGGTCTGGACTAGACAAGTTAGATGCACGTGCTACAAAATGCATTTTCCTTGGTTACTCCAGAACCCAGAAAGGGTATAAGTATTATAACCCTAGCTCTCATTGGTTCATTGTGTGTTCTGATGTCACTTTCTTTGAGTCGGTCCCATTCTTCTCGAATGCTGATGTCCCTCCTTCTGCTCCTATGTTTCCACTTCCAGTCCCAGTTGAGGACCTTCTTCTTATGGTTCCTATTCTATCTTAGTCATCGTCTTCTCCAATGCAGGTTAATACTACAAGGCCACCAATCACACAAGTGTATACTCACAAAAGAGCACTAGCTCCTCCTCCAGTTCAGCCCTCGTTGACGGATCCTGTGGTTGCACCTCCTCCTTCTGGCCATGATCTTCCTATTGCATTGCAGAAAGGTAAACGTAGTTGTACATCTCATCCTATTTCTCATTATGTTTCTATTGTTCACCTTTTTGCTTCCCATCGACATTTTATATCCTTGTTATCATCTATTTCCATTCCTAAGACTGTCCAAGAAGCCATCACTTCTCCAGGGTGGCGGCAAGCAATGGAAGAGGAATTGTCTGCTTTGGCACACAACCACACATGGGAACTTACCACTCTCCCTCCCAGTAAATATGTTGTTGGATGTAAGTGGGTCTACAACGGTTGAAAGATAGGTTAGTGGCCAAAGGCTATTCTCAGTTATATGGTGTTGACTATACGAAGGCATTTTTTCTTGTGGCTAAATTGGTTTAGTTTAGGTGTTGATTTCTTTAGCAACAATTTATGATTGGCCTCTCTTTCAGCTTGACATAAAAAATGCCTTCTTACATGGTGATCTATTTGAGAAAGTATATATGGAGCAACAACCACTAGGGTTTGTTGCTTAGGGGGAGGATGGTAAAGTTTGCAGACTTAAGAAGCGATTTATGGACTGAAACAATCTCCACATGTGTGGTTTGGCAGATTCAGTGGAGTAGTGAAGAACTTTGGCATGAAACAGTGTCAAGTAGACCATTTTGTGTTCAATTGTGAATCAGAAGCTGGGAAAATCTTGTTAGTGGGGTATGTGGATGATATTGTCATAATTGGTAGTGACAACAATGAGATTGACAGGTTGAAAAACTTTCTACAGGATCACTTTCACCCAAAAGATCTAGGTAAGCTGAAATATTTCTTGGGAATAGAAGTTGCAAGGTCAAGGCATGGAATTAACTTGTGCCAAAGGAAGTATGTCCTTGATTTACTTGAAGAAACAAGGTTGTTGGGTTCCAAACCAGCTGAAACACCCATGGAACCGAATGTTGAGTATTGATGCAGGTGAAGAGTTTGATGATCCTAGAAGGTACAGGAGGTTGGTAGGAAAATTGAACTATTTGACTATTACTCGGCTAGATATATCATTTGCTGTAAGGATGGTGAGTCAGTTTATGCAACATCCTCGACTCCTGCATTGGGAAGCAGTTCTAAGAATAGTTAGGTACCTGAAGGGAGCTCCAGATCGTGGACTGTTATACAAAAATGGAGGAACTCTTGACATAGAGGGGTACACAGATGCTGACTGGGCCGGATCTATGTTTGATCGGAGATCCACTACAGGGTATTGTACATCTTCCTTGGTGGCAATTTGGTAACTTGGAAGAGCAAGAAACAAACAGTGGTGGGAAGAAGCAATGCAAAAGCTGAATACAGGGCTATGGCTCATACTACATGTGAATTAGTGTGGTTGAAAAATCTTTTGTAGGAAATGGGGTTCTCAATTGACAGGCCCATGAGATTGTACTGTGATAATCAAGTTGCTGTCCACATTTCTTCTAATCCAGTCTTTCATGAGAGAACAAAGCATATCGAAGTTGACTGCCACTTTGTAAGAGAGAAAGGTGATCAACGGAGTGATAAATACAACTCATGTGAGTTCAGGAAACCAGTGGGCAGATCTGTTTACAAAAGGGCTGAGTCGGGGAAGGGTGGATTACATATGTGACAAGCTGGGACTATATGATATATACTCTCCAGCTTGAGGGGGAGTGTTAGAATCGACAGTACGAGGGTAGTTAAGTCTTTTGTCTATCTAATTAAGGTTAAGTTGTCTATTTTGTCTGGATTTAAGTTGTGTGTCCCATACTTAATGAGGGACAACTCTGTCTTTTGTAATCTAATACAAAGAGAATAAATACAAAGTGGGTCGGCTAAGAGAGGTGACTTTTCTTCTTCTCAGACTGAACCTTTTCTCCTTCTTTTCTCTCTCTCTCTCTCTTCTTCTTGTTCTTTTTCTTCTTCCATTCTTACTTCAGACCTAGAACTGAACTAGGGTTAATTGAATTATTCACAAAAATGATGTAATCATTATCAACCAGTTTGTACGAGTGTAAATTTGGTTGGTTTAGTAAGGTGGAGGAGAGGAAGACTGGTAGTTTGATTGGATGTTAGGAAGGTGGGGGCAATGGAGGAGAGGATGAATGTCCTCCAGGCGAAGCTAGTTGGGAGACTTGTGGGAAATGAGCTGGGTGCTGAGAAGGTTGAATCTTGGGCAGTTTTGGAATGGGGAAAGGAAAGGGTGATGGGGGGTGAGGAGACTAAATGGTGGTCTCTTCTAGTTTATTTTCATAGTAGAGAAGTTGTGGACTGGGTTCTGGACACAAAAAGCAGAAATGCAGAGAGATTGATTTACGTTTGGGGAAGTGGTTCTTGCCATCAGGGATGGTAAGTGATAAAAAGAGAAGATGTGCAATGTGGCTTGGTGTGGTAGCATCCCTCTGCATGCATGGAGCATTCTCACCTGTCAGGAGATTAGGGAATGCTGTAGGAAATCCCCTGCATTTGATAGCAGAAATAGTGCTTAGGATAAGCTGGACATGGCAAGAATCCTGGTGGAGGTGAATGAGGTTTCCTGTATCCCAAGTGTGTTGACACTTAAGTTTGCAAGGGAATTGTATGACCTCAAAGTAGTGATGGGAGGGGAGGATGGTTCTTCATCTAGACCAGCTCGTATAAGTATGCCATCCCTCTTGTTACCACAACTTCTCCATCTACTGATGTTCCTACCTTATGCCGTCTTACTAGAGTTTCCAGATCACCTGACCGCTATGGTTTTCCCTCAGACCATAATTCTTTCTCTGATGTGTTTGTCTGTCACAAATATTCCCAGATCCTACCAGCAAGCCATTTTCTCACACACACTGGAGAGATGCAACAATGCCAGAAATAGGTGTAGCATCAACAGGAATAGAAACATTATTGGGCACAGGGGCCATACCTGTATCTCTATCAGCTCGACGTGGAATCTCAGATGAGCCAATGGGAAATGTAGGTTCCTCTACTAGATATGGGGCAACAGGTGGCGATTCCCTACTTTGGCTTTAGCGAACCAGTTGGAGCATCAAAGGTTGCTCGTCAGGCGGTAGAAAGAATTTCTGGATCTTTCTGGATTCTGGGTTCTATTAAAAAGCTCTCAAGGTGTTTTGTGAGGGGATACAAGAGAAGAATAGCTTGAATTTTCTTGGGAAGATAAAAAGAAAATAAGGTCTTCAGTGGCTGGACGTTAATGAAGGATGGAGGAGAGGTTTGGTTCTGGCTAATAGGTGGAAGAAGTTTTTTGTTGTGGAAAAGAAGAGATTCCTGTTAAAAGAGACAGGTGGTAGCTCGGCAATCAAAATCAGAGAAGACAGAAAATCTGTAGTGGTGTTAAGTGGGGAACCTTCAAGTTGGTTGAAAGGGTTCATCGATGGCACTTTATCTTCCATCACAGAGACTGGATGGAAAGGGGAACTATATCTGCAAATGAAAAAATTTATTGTGGAGAAGAGCAATGATGGGAGATTTCATTCAATTGACAGAAATGTTCAGACCTGGTAAGAAGCAGATAGTTTGTATTCCTTCTGGAAAAGAACAAGGGTGGCTGATGTTTGCGGAGGCCCTGGACATTTATGAACAGAGGATGTGGCTTCTGGAGAACTGAGCAGAACGCATGAAGGCTCCTATGGTAATCCCCAAGTTGAGACACTCGTCTGAGAATACCTACGGCGCGAAGAAACCGGTAGGAGGAGGAGGGATTTGTGGAAGTTCCATATGCTCGAAATTGATGGCTGAGGGGAGTATGGAGGAGTGAAGAAGAAGAAAGGTGGTTAGATTGGATAGAAAGGTGGCTGACTGGGGAGGAGTTTTGCAGGATATAATGTTCTTTGTTCCGGCAATAGAAGGGGCAGCCGATTTGAGAATCTGCTCAGAGCTGCCACTAGAGAGGGAATAGCAATGGTAGAAAATTGGAAACCCTCTTGCAACGAGGTGGAAGTAGAGTGCGACATCATTAGCCTGAAAATAGTGGGATCCCTCCTGCCAATAAAATTGTAATCTCTTTTCTATAACATTTGATTCATAAGATCTTGCTGTTGCATAGATGGTTGAAAACCTTTTTAAAGATACCAAATCAACCCAAACGTGAAAGTTTTAACCCATTGATAATAGGCATAAATAAAACTGGAAGAGATCAACTTCATTTTATCCAAAATTTAAAAACTCTCTATAATACTTTTTAACATGTTTTTTTTTATTCACTAGACTAGTTAAAGACACTTATAACAAGTTTAAAGTAGAAAAATACATAAAGAAAGGTCATTACCTAATGTTACAAATTAGAAAACTACACAGAAAAACCAAAATTGAGAAAATATAGAATATCCAAAAATTATAGAACTGTCATTGCTGACATTTTCCTGGGTTCTACTTCTTTCATATCCTAGTCCTGTATCACATATGCTTGTAGAAGAGGGCATAATTAGTCAAATGAAGTTAATTTTTGGTAGAAATGCTACAGTTGATCCTTTTCTTTAATTGGCAAAAACAAGAAAATATTCCTTTGTTATTAGTCTATGTCAGAAAAGAAAGGGAAAGCATAAAATGAGATCTTGAATGGTCTCTTGAGAATCCACTGAGTTATAGAATCAATCATGTCCAGCACAAATGTTCTTTTTATTTGGTAGAGTTGATCTGATACTGGCGTGAATACATTCTTACCTTTTTCATTGATATACAGGCTTCAGTTCTCTCAGTGCTATTCTTTTTCCCATTTTGGTTTTGGTGCAGATCTGCAGGGCACTTGCTTACATACATAACTGTGTTGGTATTTGTCACCGTGATATTAAGCCCCAGAACTTACTGGTATGGTGCTTCCTACTGCACTGAGTAAAATTGTTGCTTTTCACTACCATGTGTGTATACTTGAGTGATGCAATTTCTTTTGAATTGGTCCACATTTCATTGGTTTGGTGGCTATATTTTATTTTAAATTTCCTTCTAATTTCAAATTTAATGCCTTAAGCAGTGCGGCTCCTGTCATTATCGAAAATTGGAATTGGGTGTTTAACTCTTAAGAGTGCAAGTCAATGTGCTATATTTACTTACGAATGCAAGTCGATTTGTTGCATCTTTGCATGGTAATGTAATGTTGGGAGTGAAATGACTTTATTTATATTCAGAATGGAAACCTTGAATCAAGGTGGCGTGTGATGAAGGTTATAACCTAAAGATGGAATATGCAATTAAATCAAAGTCCTTATTCTGTATGCAAATTGCCATGTACTGAATGCTTTTGTTTCCATTGAAAATTGAAACCATTTTGAAGAATATGATAGTGGAGAATTTGGACTTATCATTAATTTCAGGATGAAGAATATGATCTTTCCTTCTCTTTTGGTTACAACTTAGAATGCTCTGGGTTGGATGTTTCAATCTTTTCCATAAAGAAATCCTTGTAGGGATGACACATAGGGAGGGCAATTTTCTTTTAATCTTTTTCTGGTGGGTCATTTTATTAAATCCACCAGAAGAAAGAAGATGAATGGGTTTCTAAAGAATGGATTATTGTGACACTGGTAAAGGTCAGAAATTTAGGTGGAGGTTTGTTTATTTTCATTTTTTCTTGCAGGGAAGAAGTGATGCAGAGCATCAACCCTGCTACCCCAAAATAATCGATTGCAGCCCATTCAACCTCCATCAGACCCTGAGGAGGCCACAAGTCAGTTCTTTAAACAACGGGACCACCCCACGGGGGCTAAATTGCATTCTCAAAGGGGGCAATGCCTGCCCTGAGGCGTACTTGTTAGTTCAACCAAGTGGACCTATGTCATCTTCGGTTTCATTTTTGAAAAGGCCCTTTTAGGTGCCAACTTATGGTTCTCATTATAAGAGTTATTTGTCAAGTTATTATTCCTATCATAAGAGTTATTTTCAGTTTCGGAGTCTTATAAGAGTTATTTGTCAGTCTATGATTCTTATCATAAGAGTTATTTTCAGTTTAGGAGTCTTTCTAATTGTTTTCTAAGTCTGAATTATTTTCAGCTTAGTAGTCTTTCTAATATTGATTTCCTAGTTGTTTTCCAAGTCCAAGTATGGTAGGGTCTACTTAAGACAGCTAGAACAGATTGTAAGGCAGTTTTTTTTTTTTTTTTTTTTTTTTTTTTCTGGAAGGAATAAATACAGTTTATTTATTTATTTTTGCTCTTCTCTTCTCTATTTTCCTGCACAAAACCACAGGATATCAACCCTGGTTTCTGTCAGATTCTTCATATATTAGCAGTTTGGACACTGCTAGAACTCAGCCCCTTCTTCCCTAAGCAAGTAGCTTAGGGATTGCTTGGTGGATTGTATAGCAGGGCTACTCTCTTGATGGCTGCATTAAGAAGCAGGGCTACCCTGCTTGTTATACCATAAGCAGTAGCTACATCTTGATTACTGCATTAAGAAGCCTGTAAAATTTTGTATGGGGAGTTGAAGCAATATTGCATGCCTGAACTTAGAATTAAAAAGTGTGAGAGGAATTTCTAAAGAAAGTGCTGAAAATTGGTTTTCAAAATTTTAATACAAAGAAAAATCTATTTGCTCTTATGAAGAGCAAATCTCCATACACGAGGGATGTTTTCTCTAGGACTAGAACTTCTTTAAGCAGCAGAATCCCCAACCCAAATTACAGCAATCAATTCAAGTTATAACTTATGGAAGAATACTTTTTATGAAGCTCTACAAGTGCAAAGACTTCCAGTGGTGTTCACACTCAGTCTAGCTTTAAATGTGTTGAGATTGTCATCAGATTATTATGCTTTTTTGTTTCTATGCTTTTTCCTTGCTAGCCATATGCTGTTTATGTCAGTATGATATTTATTTTGTTTTGTTTCTTATGTTTTGCTGCCTTGGGGCATTTATGTCTTTTCACCTGTAACTGAAGCTCAAAAACAAAATGCAGAAAGGCAGTAAGAAGAGTACTTTTTTCAATAAAGTTCAGAGTAAGATTAAGAAGAGTAAGGTGAAAACGAGTTCTAGTTCTCAAGATGAAGGTTTGTGTATGGATGCAGAAGAAGAGAAGAAAGAGAGTGAGATTGGGGAAAAGGATGATAAGAGTCAAGAGGAAACGCGGTGATTTTTGATAGAGTGAGGGAGGTAGAGAAGAATGATGATTTGGAAAAAGTCGTTGAAGAAGAGGTCCAAGTAAGTAAATTGTTAGGGCAGAATTTTGTGGGAGGGGAGGCAGTTGCAAGGAAATTGTTTAAGGAACTGGAAAGGGAATATCCTGTTGAATACTTATTCACTAGAGAAGTTCATATTTTTTCTTTCTGCATCTAGGGGAAGGCCTTGATTTTTGGGAGTTGGATGTGAATTTTGAATTGGGGAGTAGTCGTGGGAGGCTTGTGGGCAGACTTATTTTTCTTTTGAAACATCTGGGCAAGGGCTCAATTTTGTACTTTGAAAGTTGTTTTGGTGGGTGGTGAGCTTGTTGTTTTTTCTTTTGGTGATATCTTATCACCTCTTTCTGTACTCCTTTCTCTTTTAAATGGATAAATTTTCTTTTTAATTTATTACCAAAAAAACTATATGGTAATGACCTGACTTTGTAATTCAAACATCCTCACATTAGTAGGAATTGTCCATAGATGTAGACAGCCAAAGAAGCTTAGGATAATGTCACAAAGACTTATTCTCAGGCTCTAAATGTTTCAAGGGCCTACTAGTGAAGTACTGAAGTGAATAATTTGAAATAGGCAGAGGAACCTTAATTGGTTCACTTTTCTATACTGAACTCTTTTTGCAGGAGATTTATCTCTTAGAGACTGTTTTGTGGGAATGTAAAAAAATGCAGCTACAGACAGGAAGTTACTGGAAAGGAATGAAGCCTTTGAGTTTTTGTCTGGACTTAATGTATTGTGTCGTATTGTCAGGTAGGAAATTATTACTTGTGACAATATGACTTAGGGGTTGTTCTTTTGGTCTGTTTTACATGTCTGAAGTCTGAAAAATATTATTTTTTTTTCGGACTTCAGACTGTTCTTTAAAGAGGTCTTAGCACTTAAGTTTAGACAACAGACATGACAACATTCTTATTTTTTATCCCCAAAATGCTCTTCATACATTTTATTCATACTTTATTATTAGTAATACACTCTGAGGAGAATAGGTGATGGCTCATGTTGCAAACCCCTTTTGTTAATTCTACAGCTCGTGCTACACAGCTATAGTGAAACCTAAGGCTCCCAGTTAAAGGAAAAGGAGAGCAAATGGGAAGATAACAAGGAAGTTGTATGTGACTACTCAAAGAAACTAATACATACTAGGGACACTTGTTGGAAGTTATATTCTCATTGGTACCAAAGAGACTCTAGAACATGAAGGGGAATGCTATTCCTGCAGTTACTTCAGATTCTTCCCCTGGAGACATTAGCAGCAGTTAGAGCAGAGGTAGAGGGATATGTAGAGAGATTGGGCCAAATGGGCCTTAGTTTGGTGGCCGAATGGGCCTTGCTTTAGTTCAGCTGTTTATTGTTTTATTTCTACTGTAATTGGCTATCTTTATGGGCCCTTAACACATCAGTTCTTATGTTTATTGGGTCAGCTGCCTAACCAAGGGCACCTATGTAATTTTTCCTTTAAATTAGTCCGGCACATATATAAAGAGACTAAGGGAGTGAGAGAGGGATGTTTTTTCTTCTCTTCTCTTCTTTTCTCCAACTTCTTCTTCTTTGTCTTGAACAACTCTCTCTCTCTCTTCTTCCTTCTTATTTTTCTTGTTATACAAGTAGGAAATTCTTGGACTGGTTTTCTTCTTGGTACCAGAGCAAGTTCCCACTTATTGCTTTTCTTCTCTTAGGCCCATATACAATGTGTATGGAGAAGTAAGATGCTGATTGATTGAAGATCGGTGCTGCCTAGTTAGGGGAGATTTCTGGAGAAGATTTATCATTTAAATTGAGGCCCAAGGCAGGTTCTTGGAGATTTTTCCCAGAAACCCTAGCTGATTGGAGAAATCAGACTAAGGGGTTTAGAGATAGTTTGAAGCTGGCGCTTGGGGCTTAAAAGGGAGTTTACTGACCCATTTGGAGAAGTTTCTAGAGTCCCTGGTAGGAGTGGCCACAAATTCCCTCTCTTGTCCATTTTCTCCCATTCTGCCGGGTGCTGTGAAACCCTAGTTTTCTACTACATAAAATCTCATGTTAGTGTTTTTTGATTAGTAGTATCTTATTTTGATATTCGTTTGCCTCTGTTTGATCAATGGAGCATACTAGAAGTGAGACAAAATACCCTACAGACTCCGGATGTGGTCAGGGGTTTGTAGAGAATCTTTGTGGGGCAATGACTACTATGAAGCTAGATGGCACAAACTATTTGGCATGGTCTCAATCAATAAAAATTCATGTTTGTAGTAGAGGAAAATGGGGGTATATCACTATGAGTAAGACAAAACCCAAGGAGGATGATCCTACCCATTAGAAGTGGGTGCAGGATAATTACACTGTTTTAGGATGGTTGGTGAACTCTATGCAACCTCATATTAGTCAACACTACTTGTGGTTAGAGACTGCTAAGGAGGTATGGGATATTGTTAAGGAGACCTATTCATAGAAGTTAAACGTTGTTAGGGCCTACAAATTTAAGAATGATATGAATAATTTGAGATAGGGGGAGAAGCCATTAGTTGTGTATTTCTCAATATTGAGGTCTATGTGGTAGGAAATTGATTTGATGGAGACAATTCAATGGGGATGCACAAAAGATGTTGAAACTCATAGGAAATTACTGGAGAGGAATCAGTTTTTGAGTTCCTAACCGGAGTCAATCCTGAGTATGGTATAGTTAGAAAAAATGTGTTAGCTGAGGATGAGGTGACCCTTTCT